CATCCCAACTGTCGCCGTGACGCGAGGGCCCTTCTCACGCAGATCATTGGTCTGGGCGGGCGAGTGATGCTGGTGATGATGATGGTGGTGGTGGTGGTGGCGCTGATGACGAGGGCGACGGCATCGACGATGTTGATGATGATATTGGTGACGGCGGTGGGGGTGCTAACGACGGTGATGGTGATGGTACTGTAATGACAACGATGATGATGCTGACGCTGGCGATGATGAAAATGATGGTGCTGATAAGGACGCTGGGGTACTGCGCGCAAGTACAGAAATTCTAAAGACTGGGCGGCGAATAGAGTGGGTTCCATGTGTACTGATACCCTCGGTGATGACATGCGACGAGACCAATTCGTTCTGAACACGATTTCGGCGTGCGGGCGCGGGAAAACGCGCGTGCGACTCGCATGGCCCTCTTGGCAGAGATGGCACCATCCTCGTTTCGGTAAGATTGAGTTGGGACGCCCAAAGTGGTTGATACATGTGACTCTCCATGCCTTAAGATTGGGTTCTCCTTCTTAGTGTGAGACATCCCCCTTCTCATCCTCTCCTCCATTTTCCCTCCTCCTTCTAAGACTTCCACTCACACTCATGATCAGACACACTCATGCCCCACTGCACTCGCACTCATTCTCAGACCACTCACGTGCTGACCCATCCACCCTCGGACCCACTCGCATTCAGACTCGCTCACACTTGTCCTATCTGCGCTCGTTCCCACCCAGCGCCGACAGAACACATCCACCCGCTTGTTCAAACTTCCAGTGACTCCGTACAGACACACTCACACACAGATGAAAAACTCAGAGTCCGATTCACGCATACCCACAAACCAACCCGGACTTACGTACAGACCCACTCACACACAGACTCACACTCAGACTCACTGACACACAGACCCACTCACCCACACACACACAATGCGTCACAATCGGGCTTGCTCACTGGGATCCAATGATCACTGCGATACAGACGGCATAGCATTTTGGCACCCCGAGGAGGAGCCGCCAGGGGGTAATGCATTTTCCCGTTTGCGCCCAGATTGCGGTTGCCTGTGCCGGCGCACTGGATTCATCTTTTCTGAAAGCTCGTCGGTCCCCGCGACAAAGCAAGTGTGGCGCCGCGCATTCCAAGGTAGAGCTGCCAGGTGGGATATCACCGGGGAGTTCTCGAGCGGTTTGCCTGTATAGGAGCCCCGAGCGATTTGATCACCCTTTGATCTTCGCGCCATCACAGGGGCAACACTTGGGCGCACAAAAGGGAGGCCGCCAATGGGTGTTGCACGGGTTCGTTCGCGTCCAGACTGTGGGGATGTGCCGGCCCCCTTGCGGGGCCACCACGCTGTAGGGCGAAGTTGCCACTCCCTGCACCAGTTGCAGTTTCAAGTCTCCAGTGTTACATTCCTGCGTTCTGCTTCCTACTGTAAATTGTTGAAGTGCGCGCGAGGGGGGGAGCCCCACACCAGCAATTTACCACGCCCAGATCGTGTGCTCTGAATTCCTGGGTGGGCGTGGGACGCGTAAAAATACATGGGATTCGCGCCCCCGAGGCCAGAATCCCCCGTAAAGGATGCAATGCTCGCGTCCCCGAGGCCACACACCTTTGTAAATTCAGCGATTTCTGCGTCCCCGAAGCAACGGACCCGCGTAAATTGTGCAATGTTCGCGTCCCCGAAGCCATAGCCCTCGCAATTTACGCCGTATTCCGGGCCCAAAGAGGCCCCAAGAGCGCTCCAAAAGGCCTCCCGAGAGAGCCCCAAGAGGCCCAAACCGTAGTTTTTACTAAAGTGTTTGAAGGATGTTGGCCTTCTCAGATGATCTCAAATGTTCGTCTTTCCGGCGCTCCAAGACGGCTCAAGAAGAACCCCAGACCGCCCCAAGTCAGCCCAAGACTCCTTCAAGAGGGCCGCAAGACGGCCCAAGAGGGCTCCAAGATGGCCCAAGAAACGCTAAAGGTGGCCCAAGAGGGCCCCAAGACGGTCCCAAGAGGGGCCCACGCAAGGGACCACGAACCGAACATGCGATAGTTGTGCCCCGTGAAGCCCCCAGGAGGCCCCAGTAGGCCGTCAAGAGGCCGTCAAGAGGCCCCAAGAGGCCCCAAGAGGCGCTCAAGACGCGCCCGAGAAGCCTCCAAGAGGCCCACAAGATACCCCACGAGGCCCCAAGAGGCCCCCCAAGAAGCGCCCAAACCGCCTCCAAGAGGCCCCAAAGAGGCTTCCCACGACACTCCAACACTTATACAAGAGGCCTCAGACCCACAACCCAGGCGCGGTGGCGGGATGGGCCACAGGTCAGCAACGCATCAATATGCGCTGATGTTTCCTATCCGCCCCAGCACGATGTTCCCAGCTGAGCCTAGGCACCGCCGAGCCATACCGCCGCGACTCTGATATCTCCCATTCTGATAATGAAAGGGCCGGCGGCAGGGGGCAAAGCCTTTACTACTGATAAATATATCAGGCGGTTTGCCTGTTTCGGCACTCCAGGATTCCTGTCTTCGTGTGGCCGAATACTCAACGCGATACAGCAGGCGTAGCACGTGGGCACACCAAAGTGACTTAGCCTGACGGGAAAACCCAACCATATGCAACTGCGAAAACCGCGAGGGAGATGATACGAAGGAGGAGGGCACACAAACCCTGAACAGCGCACGCGGTACACCCTCTGCTCTCATAGGCAGCGAGCCGCAGGAAGAACAAGGCGCGGGGCTGTGCGGGCAGGGGGGTACATATGGGTGGAACGCATGCGAATTTTCGGTGGAGCTCTCTATGGGGCCACGAAGCGCTGTACTGGGTACTGGGCGTGGCGGTTGAGCTCCCTCTGGGGCCACTAAACGCTGCACTGGGCGTGGCGGACGCATGCGGGCACCCCCACTGGGGCCTTCGGTGGAATTCCCTGTGGGGCCACGAAGTCTTGTATGCGGACGCATGCGGGCACCCCCAATGGGGCCTTCGGTGGAGCTCCCTCTGGGACCACGACGCGCTGTACAGGGTGTGGCGGACGCAGGCGGGCACCCCCACTGGGGCCTTCGGTGGAGCTCCCTGAGAGGCCGCGAAGAGCTGTACTGGGTGTGGCGGACGCATGCTGGCACCCCCCTCTGGGGCCTTCGGTAAAACTCCCTATGGGGCCACTAAATGCTGTACTGGGTGTGGCGGACGCGTGCGGGTACCCCCACTGGGGCCTTCGGTGGAGCTCCCGATGGGGCCACGAAGCGCTGTACTGGATGTGGCGGCCGCATGCGGGCACCCCAACTGGGGCCTGGAGCTCCTTATGGGGCCACGAAGCGCTGTACTGGGTGTGGCGGTGGAGCGCCCTCATTGGGCCACGAAAAACGGTACTGGGTGTGGCGAACGCATGCGGGCACCCCCACTGGGGCCTTCGGTGGAGCTCCCTATGGGGCCACGAAGCGCTGTGCTGGGTGTGGCGGGCGCATGCGGGCACTTCCACTGTGGCCTTCGGTGGAGCTGCCTACAGGGCCACGAAGCGCTGTACTGGGTGTGGCGGACGCACGCAGGCACCCCCACTGTGGCCTTCGGTGGAGCTCCCTAGGGCGTGACGGACGCATGTGGGCATCCCCACTGGGGTCTTCTCTGGAGCTCCCTATGGGGCCACTAAGCGCTGTACTGGGTGTGGCGGACGCATGCGGGCACCCCACTGGGGCATTCGGTGGAGCTCTTTATGGGGCCACGAAGCGCTGTGCTGGGTGTGGAGGAGGCATGTGGGCACCCCCACTGGGGCCTTCGGTCGAGCTCCCGATGGGGCCACGAAACGTGTGAGGGTTGCGCCGAAATGGTGGACATGCGGCGAGCAGAGGCATAAAAAAAACAGTGGGCTAAGAGGGAAGTCTCGATCCCACCCCCGGGAAAGATATCTCGTCGCATGTGCTTGCTTTGTATTTCCCAAGGCCCGAAAACTCACCCTGGGCATCGAAATCGATAGCAACGGAAAAATTGTTATACTGTTTCGCGACGCTAAAGGTCCGGATGCCCGCCGCCCCCCCCCGCGGGGCTGGCCTTCACAAGTGGCATTCCCTGTGCGTGTCTCGCATCTGGCGCGCTCGCCTCTGTCGCACAGCACTCAGGTTGGCTGCACCGGAAGCACAGTTGGCTGGGTTGCGTCATCCATCATAGCGGTCAGGCGTTGGCCTGAAGCTTCAGACTTGAAGCTTCACAGAAGGTGACAGAAGCTTCAGAATTGATAAAGTTTCACAGATAGCGGGCGGGTCGCTTCCAAAATGTAGCTCGCGCGCCTGCGCCGCGCACATTCGTTTACAAAACTTGCAATGGATTCGCGGGTTGAGGGCAGGTCGCTGTCAAAGTGTACCTCTCGCCTTACCGCTGCACGCACTCGTCTCCAAAATTGCAAGAGCTGCAAAGATGGAGGGCGGCTCCTTTCCAAAATGCGGCTGTCCCTTTAGCGCCGCGCACGTTCGATTCAAAACTTGCAAAAAGTTTCACCGATTCTCATGGTTGATGTACCAGATATGGTGCGTTGGAGCGATGTAGGACTGTCAGGGCGCAACAGTTCGGTTGATTCGGACATTGAAGTCACAGGATCGGCGCTCTGGCACGATTCAGGATCGCCAGGACGCAACAGTAACGTTGAGTCGTGGCGTTCAAGTCCCAAGAATGGTACTCTGGCACGGTTCAGGGTTTTCAAACGGTTGTCTCCCAACGGGGCATTTCCCTCAGAGAACATGAACCCTTCTATGGGTTTATAACGAGAGAGCTTGGAGGGAGGGCTTATTGCAACATCGTCATTGGATCTTGGGTTTACACTGGCCCTCCTCCTCATCCTCCTCCTCCTCCTCCTCCTCCTCCTCATCCTCCTCTTCGGGGGGGGGGGAGGGATGAAAGGAGGGGCTAGCATGGGTGGAGTAGGAGGGGGGAGAAGGCGCAGGAGGAGCAGAAGGACGAGGAGCAGAAGGGAGGAGGAAGAGGAGGAGAACCAGGAGGATCCCTTCTCCAGCATGGGAGAGCTCCCCCCTCTGGCGGCCTGGGCAAGCCGCGGCTCGGCGCCAGGGCCGCCAAGCCGGCCGCGCCGCGCGCGGCGGCGCCACAGCTCGCGGCGAGGCAGATACCGGCCAGCACGGGGCGCCAGGGCCCCCTGAGCGCGGTCAGCCCGAGGAGGTTTGCAGAGCAAGGGACCACCTCCTCCTCCTCCTCCTCCTCCTCCTCCTCCTCCTCCTCCATCGGACACCGTGTCTCTCCCCAGCTGCGAAAGTGAAACAGGTCGGCTCGAAGTGGCTGCAAAAGCACACAAACTTCCCACGGAAAGGCAGAGGAGGTTCCAAGATCGAGGATTGTTGCTTCAGAAGCTTCTGCAAGGGTTCGGCCCTACTCGGGGCCCCAGAGGCCTCTGGAAGCCTCCGCGCTCCCCCACCCCCCATCCCGCGTCCCGCCACCTCCACTTTTTGCTCGAGACAGCCTTCCCACCACACTCCATGAGCAAAGCGGGCGCTCGTGGTTAAACCACGCGAGAAGAAAAGCCAAACCCATATGGGCTGGCTCAAAACAGGGCCTCGCCGCTGAGGAGGTCCCCCCAGTCAGAAGCGAGATCGATCCCCAGGAATCCAGGCCTGAAAAATGCGGCCCTGGGGTCTGCGGGGCCAGGGTAGCTGTCCTTTGAGCAGCATTTTGACTTGTCTCGGCTTTGGGTTGGTACATCCGCCCACCAAGTCTTTTGCTTGGCGGCCCGTGGTGTAAGATCCACATCGACGGCAGAAGACACAACCTTGGCCAGACTGAAACACACGCGCAATCCTGAGATCGTGAGCGGGCGAGGGAGGGACAGGAGGGGCAATGAGGGCACGGATGGTGGTGGGGATAGGCCCGCATTCGGACAGGTCCGCACGACGGCCATTCTTGAAAGAACGGAAACATTTAACACATTGCCACCTGCAGTTTACCCACCGCACATCGTGGGCTAACAGGCAGCCTTTGACTGGTCGGGAAACTTTGACTCTACTCAGATCACCGAAAAGATCACGAGCCTTGGGCCACGCTTGAAGCACAGTTATCATGGCACAAGCCACCGCAAAGAAACCTTCGCGCGCTTCCGTGACCTTGGCAACGTCTACGGCCGAGGAAAAAGCCCCCGCACTCTCTTTGGCAAAAGCATCAGCCCAGGTGTTCCCTCGGGTTTTCCAGGCGGCTTGATTCGTATCGGCCTCACTCAGATGGGCTTTCACCTTATGGGTCGACCAGCTTTTTGCCCCCGCGATCTTTATGCGCCGCCAGTGGCCCGCCTGGGCCGTCTTCTTCTGGGTCCCACGGGTCACGTCCTGGGCTCCCCAAACCACCGCAGCGCAATCCAGGTAAAAATGCTGGTCATCTGAGCTGGCCTCAATCTGCTCTACCATATTCATCAGGGCATGGTGTTCTGTGAGGACGGCGGTCTGCGGCAAGCTGTTGGGGATACTCCTTCGCATTCCTCGAACCAGATTGCCCTCCTCATCCGTCTCGATGGCAGACCAGCCTCCTCTGGCGAGCAACTCACACTTGGGCTCCACCACCGACCCATCGCCGAACACGATGGCCCCACTCTGAAACATGAACGGGTCGGTCGGCCCGTCAGCGCTGAAATAGAGCACCTGGTCCTCGGTCGGTCCTGGCACTTCTAACGCTGGTGTCGGTAACCATAGTGAGGAATAGAAAGGGTCCTCTTCGCCTGCCCTCACAGCGGCCTCAACTATCGTAGGGTCAAGGCCCGCTCTCAGAGGTTCGCCGTGGGGGCAGCTCCACGCTCGGTGCCACGTCGTGTCCAAGGCAGGGCAGAACCTGCACTTGGGCGAGGTGGCAAACCCCCATCGGTGCAGCGAAGAGGCCGTCGTATATGCTCTACAAAAAAGTTTCCTGGTGATGTCTTTTCCCTGGGCGTTCAGATCCTTCGATTTCAGCAACAACTGGATAGGCTCGGTCCAGAGGCCCCTCATCTTGATGTCCTGGGCCCTGGGGTGGTTTTCCCGATCCAGTAAACGCAACATAGTATCGTCCAGGAGCTTCTTCTTCAAATCCTGAATGAAAATCTTCTGCACTAGCGTAGGTGGGGCGTCGGTGAGCCGAACCTCAGCACCATCCAGTCACCTCCACCTCCACACCATCCTCCGCATCCCCCTCCGCGTAAGGTTCTGGCTGCTGCGATCCTCTCCCCGACCCCAACACTGATAGTGCTTACATTGCCCCGACGCCCCTGCCCTCACTCTTGGACGGGCTGCGCCCCACTCGCCAGCGTGGCATCGGCGGGTGCGTGCCATACGACAACACGTGCAAGTTGTTGCTGCGTGTTGTGCAAGCTCGTGAACGGCTGGCAGTGCACACACGGCTCCGTCTTGGCAGATACTCCTGGGAGTCCACCCGATGCTGCTCAGCCTACTGCACCATGTATTCAGGACTCCATATCAGCCACATGGGATTGTAAGGCGTCGAGGCAGTGTGGCTGCAAGACTAACTCCGACTCGAGGCAGTACTGTCACCGCTGTGGACACGACAGCCTGGGGAGGTCTGATCATCAGATCCCGCTTCTAGCAGCAAGCCTGCCCGCAAGTCGTGGGCTCTGCGACGACGCAGCAGCAGGCACAGCTGAAGCGCGGCCAACATATCCTATCGCCGACGCGAGAAAGGCCCTGGCAGCGCTCAAGCGGCTCGATGTTGCTGATAATCATCCTACTGGGCACTCGGACAGATTTGGCCGCCATGGAACAAGCCGGTACGGCTTGACGCAGCTCTGATGATCAGCTTCGCTCTGCTCTGGATCGCCCCCATGGGAAGGGGAAGGAGTCTGACGCCTTCGCCAAGCAGATTCGACAAGAGCTCAGCACAATTCTCGACGTCAAGAAACTTGCACGCAGAAGGACACGGCCAGTCTCGATGACGAAATTGATGAGGCACGTCAGGCCATCATGGTGGTACAGCCTGCTCAGCCTCCGGCCAGAGCAATGGGACAGTAGGTTCCAGGTCACCGATGCACGGCTCCACGAGTTGTCGTCCTTCCTGCCCCAGCCGCCACCTCAAGCGAATCAAGGCTCCATTGCGCCGCCCAATAATGATGCTAACGGTCTCCGTCCTGGCCTGGGCGGTGCTCCCATGGCCGCAGCATGGGCAAACGGAGGGGCAAGCGCAGTATCGCCAACTTGGGATGCTGCCACATCGCACGAATGATCGCGGGCCCCTCCGCCAGTCGCGGAAACGGTCCTCTCCTCGCCACGGGGTACCTGCCATCCCTGCTACCATGCGGGGAATGTATCTAAGACGTTCCTACGCACGAGCTCCGCACTCATGGCGGCCTGACTCCGCAAATTGAGGAATGGGCTCAACAACATAGAAGGAAGGCGTTGGTCACGGGTGCATGCAGGACCGCATGTCAGAGTGCTGAGGCAGCTGCTGCCATGTTTGCACGTGAGCGCATCAAAGTCACCATGCATCCAAATACCAAGATCCTCTCACAACACGTGCTAATGCGGTCATGTGGGGCGATGGAGCCATCGGAATTCGACATGCGTGGCGGCTTGATCGCGCGCGCTGCATACTTTCGGGATGGCGCGTCGCACGGTGCTGCAGATGGAGAGATACTGTCGGTGATTGCAGAGGCTCTCGAGTACTTCGGCGAACCTTCGTCCTCAGTGTCGACTGGAACGCTGGGTCGACAACGACCATCAACATTTGATTTCCCGGGAGAGTAAGGGCTGGAATTGTTCATGCCCCGGAGGGTACTTGTCCCTCTCAGCCTGGCATCTGTAGCCTGCGCGACTACTGGATGGTGTCTGAGGGCCCGCTAGGACAATTGTGGCGCCCATGCGACCCCACCAATCCAGAATGATCACTGGGCCGGGCGGGCAAGAAACTTTCTCCCCAAAACTGTCCAGAGGGGCAGAAACGACTTGGAATTGAAGGCCTGCCGCAAAGGAGCGATCGGGACCTCTGGGGGGCCACGGTGCTAAAAAACAAACGCGACGTCGGAGGCCTGGACTCCTCCCTCCGTCCGTCCCTCCGTTCCTCTCCGATCCCCCCTCGCCGTCCCTATCCTCCTGCACCGCACGGGAGGAAGCGGGAAGCCGGAGGCGCCCGTCGTACGAAGCACTTTGTTCGTCCGCGGGGAGGAAGCCTACGGCGGCGAGAACACGGCGGAGGAGACATGATCACCGTGGCCCTTCAGGACACTCGCCGGAACCCGCGCGTCAGCTTCTCGCCGTGCCATCGCGAGAGGCGGTCAGCACCTCCTGCCCGTCCAGAGAGAACACGGCGGAAAGCACGGAACGGCCATGGCCCTCTAGCGTGCGCAAGCACGCGCCAGAACCCGCGCACCAGATCTTCGCCGTGCCGTCGCCGGGAGGGGTCACCACGTGTGGGTCACCAGAACAGTCAACGCGCTGCCACTGGCGGCTCCAACCTCGGTCAAGGCCGCGTCCCTTACACCTGTCCCGCGGAGGAGGATCTGGCTTCTGCTGTCGAGAGCGCCGACCTGCTCGGGCACCGCCGCGAGCACGTCGCGCAGCCGCCACGACGGGCGGGCGTCCGGTGCCGCCAGCTCGCGCCCGCTGCAAGTGGCCACAGACACGCGTATCCTAGATAGCGTCCGCCAGGGAAGGCCGAATCGGGCGTGGACTGACAGCTCAGAGCAGTTACCAACAAAAAATGTGTATGGTGGGGCTACCCAACCCCGACTGAGCCAATGTTCAAGGCCACCTGAAGGGCTGCGAGTGGGGCCCAAGCCGGGTTCAAGTAAAATCTGGTTATATGAAAGATCTTGCCAGATTCTGAACTCTGGCAGAGCCCCGTGTGAGCTGACCATTCTGGCTGACCGAAGGCGTCTTGTTCCGACCCTGCGGCGGTGAACGAAGAGGAAGACGAGGCGCGAAGAAGAGGAGCTGGGAAGGTGGATATGACAATGTTAACGATAATCATGACAGTGGGGGTGATGATTACGACAATTATGATGATGAACATGAAGATGTGGATGCTTATACTAATGATGATGATGATGATGATGACGATGATGATGATGATGATGATGATGATGATGATGACGATGATGACGGTGATGATGTCAGGCTCCATAGGGGAGTCGGGTCTCGGGGCCAAAGCCTCCCTGATGGCCGGCTTGCGCTT